TGCTTCTTCGGAAGTACAGACATTCCAGGTGTTTAGCTAGTTGGATTGTGGTGTCTCCGTAGGACTGCTCTGATACGTAACACCGGGGCGTTTTGGGAGTTTATTTGTTTATGTGTGGATTATGTGTGCCCCAGTGGCGTATCTGATTTTAGGAGTTATGTATCGATATTTGATGATACTATGCTTATATGTTTTTAGGTAGATGGCCAATGATTATGCATATGACGATGATGATTATGATTGATGTATATACACATTTTGTGTTACGACAGACGAATCTATTTTTCCGCTGAAATCTATTGAAAAATCAGTTTTGAATGATTTGTGAAAATTGTGATGTGAATGTGACATCTCGTTGAGAAAAAGAAACTCTGATATGTGTTTTATTTACTTGTTTTATTTTAATTTGGGAACGGGGTGTTACATTGTTACATAACGCACTTAGGGTTTTCTTTGATCTTTACCCTTTCCTTTGGATAAATCAAAGCTCGGTGGTGAACTTCATGATTTGTGATTAAAGTTAATTAATAGCTTGATATCCGATTCTCATTGCAACACATCCTTGTTAGGATATATAGGTGTAAGACTGTGAAGTCTTGGCAAGCACACTAACAACAAAACTCCTTAGGTTCCCTATCTCAAAAAACTCAAAAATAGAACATTTCTAAACACTAGTAAGAAAATTACCATAACACAAATACTTTCAAGAGGTTTGATTGGTGGTTTTTACACGTTATTTTACCATTTGTTTCTGTTAATCATTTGTTTTATCTTGTCGCATTTTATGTGTTTTTATTGCATTTTACGCGTTGGTTTGGTGTTTTCATTGTTTCTAGGTTCAGGTAAACCATAAAGGAGAAGCAAAGGGAAAACCGGGGAAAATGGCAAGATTTCAGAAGAGTTTTGATGTAGAACCAGCAGCCTGACACGAGTGCCCGTGTCGTGTGACACTGCCCGTGTCAGGGCTACTGAAAGTAAAATCTTTAGCAGTCTGCACGGAAACGATCATAACTGGAGTTCTGGGAATCCGTTTGAGGCGTTCTAATAATCGCCGGAAAGCTAAGAGAGAGAGCTACGACTTTCGTGTTGGAGTTGAAGTCAGATTCGGTGCAAATGTTTCCAGATTTTCGTTTGAACCTGCAACATTAGTTTTATTAAGTTTTGGTGTGCAATCTTGGAGGGAAGTTTAGACATCTCGCATTGTAATTGGAATTCTGCTATATCAGGCACATCATGAATTAAGAGAGGGGACTTTTGGAGAAGAGAAAAAGATACAGTCAGAATTAGAGAGATCCAGAGGATTGGAGAACTGAAGGTTTTCATGCGCGAAAGCAATTGAAGATTAAGGCAATCCGATTATCTTGTAATGTTTATCTTTTATTATGTATTGCTTTTAATTATTATGAATAGCTAAACCCTAGAGGTTCCTATAGGATATTATAGATACTTAGGGTGTTAGCACCTTCCTTTAGTATAACCAACCCCTGAACCTTTGGATCTCTTTGCATTATTGTTACATTGCACAATTAGAGTTTTATTCGATCTTTTCCCTTTTCTTTGGATAAAGTAAAGTTCAGTGGTGAACATTCAATGTTTTGTGATTCAAGTTAATATAATAACTTGATATTCGATTCTCACTGCAACAACTATTTATGAGGACATAAAAGTCAAAGTAATCCTAATAACTACAATTCTTGGTCTGGTTAACTTATTCTTTCGTAAAATATAACTTTTTTTCTTCTAATTTTATAATGAACTTTAAAAAAATACGTCAAATAAAAATATCGTAATTTTGAATTTATTTAATTAATCTAAAATAATAACAAAAATAAGTTTATTGTCTAATATTTTACAATAAAACTCTGAATTTTCTTCACCTTTGTTGATTTCATTGATTCTCCTACGATGTTTCACTAATTTGAAAATTATCAACACTATTTCTAAATTAATTATAGAATTTATATTTAATAAATGAAAATAATGTCTAATAAAGTAGAGAAAAGTAGTAAAATTATGCCATAACATTAATCTATAAATTCAATATTTTAAAATCAATTTATATATATATATATATATATATATATATATATATATATATATATATATATATATATATATATATATATATATATATATATATATATATATATATATATATATATATATATATATATATATATATATATATATATATATATATATATATATATATATATATATAATAAGGGTATAATTAAAATAAAAAATTATAAATTAAAAGTTACAAACTCAAAAATTACTTCAAATAAATTTTGAGAAAAAAGCTAAAAATTAATTTAAAAAATTATAAATTAAAAGCTAAAAATCAATTACAAATCATATTTTTTAAATTAAAATAAGTTTTAAAAACTCAAAGTAAAAGTTTGTTTTTTTAGGTTTTCGAAACAAACTCAAAAAGACAATCATGATGTTCAATATTTTAAAGCAAGTTAATAAATGTTTCTCTAAGAGTCTTTTTGATTGGGGAAGGAGTAGTGAAAATTTTTTATCAAGAGGAGGAGAAGGGAAGGGAGTGGAAAGATTTTAATTATAAATATGTTTGATTCAAAATATAAACAAAAATATTACGATAACTAAAATTAATATTAAAATATGAAAAATAAAATAAAAAATTTAAACAGATATAATAATAGTAAGATGAAGATATAAAAATAAAAAAAATATAAAAAGAAAGATTAAATTTGCTCAAAATAAAACTTTTAATAATATTATAAGTTAAATTTATATTTAAATAAATAATAAGAGTAAATATGTAAATATAAATTTATTTCTATTTAGAAAATCTAATTAATTCTTAACCTTATTTTACTAAAAATATAATTCACCCTTTAATATAACATTTTCTTAAATTAATCTCGCATAATTTAATCAACGCGTTTCCACCATGTTTCCACCCCTCGAGCACCAATTTAATTTTCGCGTCCTGCGCTTGTCTTGATTCTAGCACTTTTATCAGTGTGTATGGATTTAATTATCGTTGTCTTTATTTTATCGTCATTTACTTTATCGCATCGCATAATGTTCAAAGGAAGAACCTACGCATGATTTAACAATTTGTGCGTATTGCATCTCATCTTGCACCATTTTCCCCCATTTGATCCTTGATCCTTTTCAAGTTGATCAATTTAAGTTTAGATCCTACCCCATAAGGAGGACCTTTTTTCTTTTGCGACTTAGATAAAACAATATTTCAACTCAATTCAAACTTTTCTACCTATTAGAGAATTAGGCGTGAGTCATCTTGACCGTCGAGATATAATTCTCCTGCCCCATAACGCAATCGAATGATGTAGATCTTTTCCACTTGAGAGAGATAGTGGCATACTCGTCGACAATTCGAGTGTTTGAGCCCTTCTCTCAAGACGATGCAAAGACCATCTCCTACAAGTTGTGGTGGTTAAGTCGAGTGTTCTCCCTTAAGATGACAACTCGTCTTTTCTCCTAGAATCAATCAATCAACAAACCCTTATCCCTTTGGAACTTTGACCAACAGTCAAGAGATTCCTTAAACCCTTTAGGAGAACTACAATTACTCTGATTCCATTCCCGTCAGATATGTAGGCACAAGATGCGACGTCTTGGCGAGTATACTTAGAATTAAACCACTAGGTCTTTCACCCTGAAGCAGATAACCCTTAGCAATAAACATGATAAAACAAGAGGTTCCTGTAGAGTACTACAAAAACTTAGGATGCTAGCACCTTCCCTAAGTTTAACCAACCCCCCGAACCTAAACTCTCTAGCTTTTGCATTTGCATTGCATTGTGGGTAATTCGATATTTTTCCCTTCCTTTGGACAAATAAAAGACCGGTGGTGAACTAAATGAATTAAGATTCAAATTAATTAATAATTTGACATACATTTCTCACTGCGACAGAAAGCCCTCTGCGAAGCCTCACTCAAACAGAAAATCACGATTAGGCACAACGACAAAGTCATCCAACGAGTATTCCAAGTGGGCAGCCTCGTCCTGAGGAGAAACCACAGAGATTCTTGAGAAGGCAAACTCGCCGACAACTGGAAAGGACTATACCGCGTTAGAGCAAAAACAGACAACGGGGCCTACTACTTGGAACACCTAACCGGGGAAGAATTATCTTGACCATGGAACGCCGAGAAGCTGAAACAATACTACAGCTGAGGCCCTCCGACGTCGACACGCATCGTCTACACAGCGGCCACGGTAACTGACCATAGGTGCACGCCTAGGTACACTTGATGCACCACCAGAAAGGATCTAAGCAAGGGGCAGGCGAAGAAACTTACACATGCCCAGCAGAGGTTCCTCTACCGAGCCTGCCGTCGTCACAGTACCATGACCGGCAGAACCCCCAGCTTACGATGAGAAGTTCATGCCGCAAACTCGGGCCACGATCGTGACCTGAGCTCCGCCCCTGCCCGGAAAATACCCGGGCCATTCGACCGGTTCCCCACACTATCGAACATTGTCTTCCGAGCATATCATGTACATGACAAATCGCTAAGTACCTCCCACGACCGCGTTGGACGGCGCGTGACACTTAGAAAATGTTGAACAAATATACAAATAACCATACAAAATTACCATAAATATTAATATAATACGGCCACGATGGACCACTATTGTGCGCATTACAACAAAAAAGGGGCCAAACCCCCCACAAATTAATATTACAACATCAAGCAAGCAGCACGCAAGCCGAAATATAAAGGGGGAAACCATCCTCAGTGTACACAACGACCATTTCTAGGATCCTCATCAGAGCAGAGGCATCTTAAACAAGCATGGCCTATTTGCTGGGACGATCCATCTCCTCGAGTTTCAATGACTCTGCCCACGGGATGGATAAAGGATAGTATTTTTTTTAAAAAAAAACTTCTTTATAATACAATATTTTGATTGAACCATACTTTTTAATTAAAATAATAATAATAAAAATGAAATATATATTACAAACTACAAGAATTCTTATAGAGTGTGATGTCTCCCTCTCCGCCGTTTTTACCCGACGTTCTCATCGCCGAGGTCTTATCCCTTCTTGATGTGAAATCTATTCTTCGATTCAGATGTGTTAGCAAGTTTTGGGACACTCTCATTACCGATCCCACCTTCGTGAAATCGCATCTCAAGAAATCAGCTAAACGAAATACTCACTTCTTACTCATCACCCAACACATCACTCATATCCGAGGCGAGTCATCCAACGGTAGTGATAATAAATATGTGCGTGATTATGGTGTCATTCCCTACTCCATATGTAGTTTACTCGAGAATCCGTCTTTCACCCTTTCTGTCGACTCTTATTACTTGGTGCAACACAAAGGATGCTCCAATATAGTTGGTTCCTGCAACGGATTGATCTGTTTGGTTGATAGATCCATCACTAGGGACTACTATGAGTACTCGTTCCGATTATGGAACCCAGCCATCAGGATGATATCTGCAAAATTAGGGTTCTTACGCTTATTTCACAATCGTTCCGACTGCCCTTCCTCTGCTGCTGATGATGGCATTTACAAATTCAAATTTGGTTATGATAATTCTACGTGCACTTATAAGGCAGTGGCCGCCCGGTACAACGAGGTAAGAATCCTAAGTATAGGTGATAATGTTTGGAGAAATATTGAAAGTTTCCCGGTTGCTCCTTTACATTTTGGAGCTGATTCAGAACTTTCTGAGGATAATTGTGGTGTGTATTTCAAGAGCAGTATTAACTGGTTGGCTATTCAAAATAAACTATGCTATAGCCGCCGAGATATTAAGGATATTACAGTTGAGCAATTTGTTATTGTTTCACTTGATTTGGGAACAGAGACATTTCGTCAATACCTACTGCCCAGTGGCTTTGATCAAGTACCGCCTACTGAGCCAAATGTTGGTGTGTTGGGGGGCTGCCTTTCTTTTTCTTATTGTTACATGGAAACTCATTTTATTATATGGCAGATGAAGAAATTTGGGGTTCAAGATTCTTGGACTCAATTTCTTAAAATTAGTTATCACAATCTTCAAGTTAACTATGACTATAGTGATGACGGATATATGTATATTTTTGATATTGTTCCTATGATTCTATCTGAAGACGGTGATACACTGATACTTCGTTGCAGTCAGGAGATATCCCAAGCTATTCTCTATAATTGGAGAAATAACAGAGTGGAGCGAACAAATATTACTGCAAGAAAAACAGGTACTGATGATACAACTGTCGATTATCCCTTGTACGCGGCCGAGAACTATTTTGAAAGCTTAGTTTCAGTTTTTTGAAAGTAAGTACCTCTTCCATTGTTTACATGTTTGGAATTTATGTTAATTTGTAGATATTGTTTTCATGATTATCAATTGTGTGAATAATCTTTTTTCATGATTGGTTAGATTGATTTTATTTTCTAGATGATTTCAAAACAGAATTATCATAGGTAGTAACAGATCTGATGAACATTGTCACATTGAATTATTTGAATAAGAATAATTTTATGAAATGTATTGCATCAGGTAGGCCTTTCAACAGATAATGCCTTTTCCTTAATATTTGTTATTCAATTTTATAATTTTGTAGATGGAACTATAGGAGTGAAATTATATTATTTGATTTAATTAGAACACTGAGAATATTTCAGTGTATTCCTTCTTTCACATCCTTTTGTTATTAACATATGAAATGTTATTTTCCTGCGTGCGATTGCAGAATTAGGATGACCACCAAGAGATAATATAGTGTGGGAATTAAGAGCTTAGAGGAAAGGCAGCTAAGGTAGTGTTGGAAGAGGAAGAATTCAGAAGAACATGGTTTGAATTAGTTTACATTTTAGAATGAAAATGTTCCTGGTACTTGGGGACATATTTTTTATGTGCTTTGTCATAAACCTCTATTTTTTTTAATAAACTATGTATATCAATTATTACTTATATGTTGGCTTTTCATCTTGGTTTGCAATTAAAAAACTTCTTTGTTTGATTGTAAATCTTTGTGAGAAAACTCCATAATGTTCATTGTAAATCTGTTGTAGAAGGAATTCTACTTTTTTAGTTATTACTATGTATTAACACTTGTGCACTAACAAGTGTTGGAAGTAAATCTGTTAGCAATAGGCCTCCTATCGTGAGGACCTATGCACAAAGAAAGAAAGCCCAATAATACATGTAGGCGTGTGAGAGCGGATATTTATTTATAAATAGTAGGTAGAAACTGAATCTTCAGGTTTTGGTCAGAACTATCTGGTTTTGGATGGCTCTAAAAGGACTACCTACAGGGAGGGTCTGAGTAGTGGGAGAGACATTGGGGCATTAGCAATCGGGAACATGATAGTAATTTGCATATTAAGTCTGACATCAAACAATATGAGGTGTTTATGTGGAGTATTTTAGTGGCTATGGTATACTTAGGCTTTCGTACGACAGTCACTAATGATTTTTTAAGAACCAAGTTAACAAAGGGTGAGTGAGTGATTCCTATAATGGATGAAATGTGCATGAACTACATGAGGACCTGACGGTCACCATTTCCATCGATCCTTACTACAGAGTTGGTATTTGCAATAGATTGATCTGTTTGTCTGGTTATTTTTTCACTAGTGAGTTTGAAGAGTACTGACTCTGTTTATGCAACCCGGCCACAATGTTGAGATTTCTCTGTTATAGTGATATTGTTTGGATAGAAAAAAGACTTAAAACTCCAACGAATCAATGTAAAATCAGTTTCGGAATTCCCCAGTCACTCATATGAGAAGACATCTTCTTTTCTGTTATTTCAATTTCATTGTTTTCTATTAGCGATGCATCACAATATTTGCCATGCATTTTACTCCTTTAATGGTTGTTGGCATGTGTTTTATTAGAGAAATTAGATGAAGAATTAACTGGATATTAGTGTTGATCCTATTTTGATCAACCGAGTGGTTATTATTCTTATGGTATTAACTCCTAAAAGAGAGAGATTATAGTGCAATCACATGTTCATTATTTGGTTTTTCTCCCAACTGTTTTAAACAAAACTAAAATATGAAGTGAGGAATGTATTAATGAGCAAGTTACACACATTTGTTGACTTGGAAGAATTTGTTAGGTTTGTAGGTGTATAGATAGATAGATAAGAAAAGAAAAAAACAAGTCTTCCTTTAATTCTTTATACATGATGAACCCGTAAAACATAAAAAGCTATGAACATAACTACATCTAAATTATCTCAACATTTATGTTTCCTTCCGGTGCAATTAACAAGCAATGTGAGAGTTTTTAGTTTGGATGATGATAGGAGAAATGTTAAATGTTTTCTTGATTTTGCTCTTCATTCGAACCTTGGTTATACAATTATGTGTATTTGAGTGAAACTCTTAATTAGTGTTGAGTTGTTTGTTATTGTTTCATGCAATCAATACATGCGGCCTTGTGGTTTTGTAGAGCCAATAATCAGTGGCGGACCTAAAACATTAGGGAGCTTTGATTATTAACTAAAATATTATATTTAAAATTTATAAGAGGTATATATAATATATATTTATATTTTTTATATTTAATTATTATCTTATTTTTAATAAATGTACATATCAATTACTAATAATATTAAGCACTATAATAAAATTAGTCCGATCCGTTGAACATGTCAGTTTTGCCCGCATCCGATCCGTTGAACATGTCAGTTTTGCCCGCATTTTAGTGCGGAGCGGATCAAAATTTTAGGTATGTATTTTCTAATATGTATGTCACGTTCTGCTTTTTGCGGGTTTTTGCAGACACGGACATTATCCTAAGATTTATAATTTTTAAACTTAAAAAATTCAATGTAGAGCAATATTCTTTAATTATTTTTTAAAACATTAATTTTCTAATTTTTATTCTGACTATTTTAAATAATTTTATTTTGTCTTCCTCAAAACTTAAATAATTTTTAACACTACACCATTTTAATTCATTTCACCAACTCTAATGCACATGGTAATTCATTTCACTAATTCTAATGCACATAAAGTTAAATAAAACTGAAGGCAATAAATAAAATATACCCTTTCAAATAATAATGCTAAATAGTGCTAGCATTTTCTTTCAAAGCATGATTAACATATTTAACGCCACCGCTCTTTATAATTGTCCTTTTTTTTTTTTATATTAAAAAATTGTGGTATGCTTGTCGATGTCTTTGTTTTTTGTTTTCTTACTAGGAAATATACGACAGATGACTAAATTTGGGTTAAAGAGACTTAGACTCAATTATTTAAAATTAATTAGAGAGTTTCTTAATGTATCTTTTATGATTCTTAGTCATCATACAAAAATATTTAAATGTCTTAATTTTTTAAGATATAACTCTGGATGTACTCATGATTCAGTTAACGTTAAAATATTTTAGAGATGTATCTCTGAAATATTTTGGAGGTCAAGTCGCGTCAGACTCTTCTCCTTTTTCATTTCTTATTTTGCTCAAAATCGATTCAAACTCTCAAATTTTTTGTCACCAACAAGTCAAATATCAAACAAAAAAGTTCAATAGAACTTCAATCAACATCAAAAACATCATCTAACCTTGAAGGAAAGTTGAAATTTGCAAGTTTTTTGAGATTTTGATAAGTTTTTAAATTTTTATGTAAATGAGTAGAAATTGATGATTATGGTTAGAAATGAGTATAAACTGCATGTATGATAGTTTAGACATAGTGTATTATACGTTTGTTGGTTGAAATGGATGATCAAAGCTTCTTTTTTGATGTTGCATGGGTACACTGACGCCATTGATGAAGTGTGGTTTGTAGAGCCAATAATTGGGCTTGTTGGTGTCTTTGTTTTTCTTATTCTTACAAGGAAATATATGACATATGAGTAAATTTGAAGAATTTCTTATGGCATCCTATATACTTCTAACGCACCATGTGAAATTCCATAAATGTCCAATGTTTTCGAAGATACATCTTCGGACGCACGCAAACATAAATGAACGTTGAAATATTCCGGAGATATATCTCAAAAACATTTTGAAGCATAAGTCGCGTCACACTCTTCTTCTTTCTCATTTGACAGTTTTCTTCAACACACAACTTCAACACTCTTATCAATACAACCTACACCAAATCAAGTTTCATTAAACAAGAGTATAAAGAACTCAAAATAACATCAAAGATCATCTCTAACATTGGAAACAACATCTGAATCAATAATTTCGAGTATGTTTTTCGAGTTTTCGATAAATTTTGAGTTTTAGTGTAAATGTTTAAAAATTAATGGTTAGGGTTAGAAGTGTGTAGTAATCACATGTAACATAGTTTATATTTAGTGTATAACTTGTTTGTTGGCTAAAAATGGCAATCAAATCATGTTTTTTTTCAACTTGTAAGAGGTACTCTGTGTTGCAAAATATTTCGAAGATGCATCTCCAGAACTGTTCAGTGTTTCATATACTTTGGGAAATTCCGGAGATGCCTCTTTGAAATTGTTCTAAGTTATAGTTTTATGGTGTTTTTAGAGATGCATCTCTGGAATTGTTCAACGTTATAGTTTTATGGTGTTTTCAGAGATGCATCATAGGAATTTCCTACAATAGTTTTTTTTTTAAATTTTAATTTTCTCGTTTGTGTGTGTTGTTTGCTTGCAATAATGATATGCCTTACTTTATCTTACAAGTATAATGACTGACATAGTTGACAGGCTGAGACATAGCATGGTTGCTCAGTACACATTCGTTCAGCGGGAGCGGAGCTAACACGTTCTGGAGGCTCTAGGTACCTCTGGCCAGGTAGAGGCATCGACTTCTGGGGCTCCATCTACTCCTGTGGCTCGTGCTTCACCTCAGGCCACTCCACCTTCTTCTTCATCTTCTCATAGGAGACGTGATTCATTATTCGATGCGTCACTTCCCTTATCCTACAGATGATGCAGCCGATCGAAATCCATCTTCCACTGTTGATGTTGTTGATCCAGTTCCACCTCTAGAGGGTGAGGCTATTGAGGATGGTGAGGCAGAGGGTTTTGGAGGAAGTTCATTTGACTTGTCCTTACTTCCTCTATATCTAGACCATATTGCAAAACATATCTGGGACTGGGACATAGAGGTAGCATTAGTTGAATTTTTTATTTACTTTTTACGTTAATTTTAATTGCTGACATTGATTATTACCGACGTTGATTATTTCTGGAAATTTTCAGGAATGTGATCTTCCAGTAGTTTCTTAACCATGGGAGGAAGATTGCTACATTGCCTCAGTAGGAGGAAGATTCAGTCGGTTCTATTATTATCTGGCCTGAAGGACCTATGCATGACTTATTACACTATGGTCAAC